AGAGAGAGATAAGTCGCCGAGCGCGCCTTGCCAACATCGGAGCGCGAGAATCGCGGCCTGAGAGTCAGAGGGTTTCTGGCTCAAGTTGCGACCGCGTATGTGAAAGTTTGCGAGCCGGCGATTTGTGCATCCTGAGAAGTCCAAGTGGCGTTTTCTGGCTGAAAGGTTCGCGACGCGCAGCACAAGGTCGCGAGCGCGAAGATGAAGTCGCGAGCCGCGCTTTGTGTGATTTCGCGAAGCCAGCGAGATGCGCACAACTGAGAGTCAGAGAGCTTCTGGCCAAAGTCGCGACCAGCGCGCAATTGGTGATCCTCGCGAGGCGCGAGTTGTGCAATTGAAGAGTCCAGAGCCGCTACTGACTCCAATCGCGAGCGCGCAATGGGAAAAGTTTCCGGCGAGCGCGAGGTGGCTTTTCCAGCATGCGCGAGCGCGGCGACGTGGATTCTTGTGCAGTCCGTATTCTTTTGGCCCATAAAATCTCAATAGCTATCTCCAAATTGAGTGATTCCAAAACGCGTGTAAAGCCTAACACAAAAAAGGAACAAATAACTCTTCTGTGACAATTCCCTAATTCCATCATTTTAAATTTGGGTTTCAAAATCAAAGAATGCCAGTTTGCTGGGGTAAAATTTCCAGCAAACTCTGTTCCACTTCATATATTCATCCCTGTTTTTCACATCATGTCCAACTCTTCTCTCACCTCACAATAAGCAACATATCATCTCACTAGCACACACCAAACACAATTTACATGCAAAGAAAATAGTAAACAACAATGAGATATCAAAACCTTGACGTCAAAAGCGCTTTGACCTCTGTTTTTAGCTTCCTCTTTCTGCAGACTTTTGAACTTTCTTCTCCTATACACCAAGAATTCTCATACTCATCTCATAGAACTAAATGAATAGGAAATAACATCACACTTTCAAGGAATTCACTTACTTGAAGTTTGAACTAAATGCTTACTATGTTGACAATTGAAAGAAAATGGCGGGAACAAGTAAAGAAGAAGAAGGAGAAAACGGGAAAATGGGAACAAAGTGAGTTGATAAGAAACGGTAGTCTCTAGATGATAATGAACTTGGCTGTGTAAACTCCCCCAATTTGGTACCCCAAGTTGTTACAAAGGCTTACAAGCGTTAATACACAAGCTGTTTATATTTTAATGCAAACAAGTCCTAACTTTATATGCAAATAAGTCCACTTCTAATCTCTTCTACCACTCAACCAAGGTTTGGTTCAACTCGAACTCAACTCAAGCAAGACTCGACCTCAATTGCAAGACTCAACTCGGTAGGATGTCACAAATTCTCCCCCTCCTAAATAAAAACTTCGTCTCGAATTTTACCTGTTGTGAACAACTGCGGATACTGTTGTCGCATGGTTTCTTCAGATTCCAAGTTGCTTTCTTTCTGTCTTATGATTCCTCCAAAGAACTTTTACCAATGCTATTTTCTTGTTCGCGCATTCTTGTCAATTTCTCTTGCTAGGATCTGACTGGTTCTTCCTTCATAAGTGAGATTCCAGCTGAATGTCAATCTCTTCTGTGATAAACACAGTGTGAATGGGTCTGCATCTGTATCTCTTAACATTGAAATACGTGAAAGACATTATAAATCCGATCCTAAGGTTGAAGTAATGCTTAGGCGATAGGCCAATGGTCCGAACAGCGTTCACAATCTCGTATTGGACCAATGACCTAGGGCTAAGCTTACCCTTTCGTCCAAACCTTAGGATCTTTTTCCATGGTGAAACTTTCAGAAATACTTTATCACCGACCGAATACTCAATATCCTAATCTCCTCGACCATCTGCAAAGTTCTTTCACTTGCAGAATCTAGCTCGGCTCTCAATACAATGGTAGTAAGGTGTTTTCAACTCTATTTTTATTTTTGCACCTTGTTTTGATAATATATGATGAGTTTGGAGAAGTGGTCTTATTTTTGCACACATTGGAGACAATGTGCTAGATTAAGTTGGGGGAAGAAAACGTTTAGTTAAAATTTTAGTTTTATATGTTTCATTAGCTTAATATGGTTGGAATAATTGTGAGCAAGCTTGAAAATTATCATAATTTAGTAACTTGCGATAAATTTAGTTATTTTTCTAGTCTAGTATGTTTTAGTTTTAATTTGAATTTTTGACTTAAAATGATTCTTGGATTTAACCATTTATTTTTAAGACCATGAACACTGATTTTTGTGAATTTTATGGTATATAGGTATGTTTTAATCAAAAATTATTTAACATTGCATTCCTAGAACAAATTAGAATTCCCTTTCATGCAAAATTTTAAATGCTTACATTTAGAAAGAGATGATTTAGGCAATTTTTTTTATTGAACTTCATATTTAGCCTAGGCCATCTAAGTTAAATTATGACATTTGCAACCAATTTGAAACCTATATCCAAATTTTATTGTTTACCTTTATTTAACTTAGCCATTAAACCAAGTTCAAATCATTACCCTAAGTACAAGAATGTATAAATTGCTTCGGGCTTGCTTGTTTGCTGGGGAAACTAAGAAGAAAAAAGGGAAAAGAAAATTCTATGTGAAGATTTTTTTTTAATTGTAATTTTTGAAGTTTACGTTTCATTTTCTCGGAAACCAAACTAGATTTTCTTAAATTGCTTTCCTAATTTAACAAACTTCCTTTTTTTTTCACAGTTTTCTTGAATTTCACCTTTCTTTTATCATCATCGTCATCATCATTGTTATTTATATTCACAAGTTCTATGTTTAAATAAGTTCTATGTCATGATTTCATCTGTAATATTGTTTAGTATAAGCTTCTGCAACTTCCTGAACCCAAGATGGCTGTATTTGCATCTGTGCTAGAATGGGCCTAGAATCACTCCCTGCTGTTGCAACTCATGCGGAATTTCTCTTCTTTTAAAGCAAACAAATGATTTCCGGCTAAGGGCATCAACTTTACCACATTCAGCTTTTGGCCCGGATGGTAATTATGACATAATATAAATCTAGCCGCAGAATCTGCATCCACTTACCGTTGTCTGATTCAAATCTTTCTGTTTGGTAAAACACTTTAAACTTTGATGATCCGTTGTAAAATGTGACACTTTTCACCATACAGATAATGCCCGGCCATACTTTGAATTGCTAGAATATATAGCTGCCAGTTTCTAAATCATGGGTTTGGATAAATTCAATTCATGTGGCTTTAACTGTCCTGGAGACATAAGCTACCACCTTCCGCTGAGCTACCACCTTCCTGTCTTGCATAAGTACACATCCTAACCCAATATGAGAAGCATAACTGTAAATCTCAAAGTCTTTACCTGACACTGGCTGGGTCAACACTGGTGCTTCTGTCAACTTTTTCTTCAAAGTGTCAAAACTCTGCTGACCTCTATCATCCCATTGGAATATAACTGCTTTCTTCAATAATTTTGTTAAAGGTGATGAAATGATAGAGAATCCCTTTACGAACCTTCTGTAATAACTGGCTAAACTCAGAAAACTGCGAACTTCTGTAACATTTCTGGGTGGTCTCCAATTAACAATAGCTTCAATCTTCTTAGGATCCACTCTGATACCCTCCGATGATAGACACCACATGTCCTAAGAACGAAACTTCTTTCAGCCAAAACTCACATTACTGAGCTTGGCATACAGCTGTTTATCCCTCAGTGTCTGAAGTATAGTCCGCAAATGTTTATCATGTTCAACCCTGTCTCTGGAATAGACCAAAATGTCATCTATAACCACTACTACGAACTGATCCAGATATGAATGAAACACACGGTTCATAAGATCCATGAAAACAGCCGGTGTATTTGTGAGACCGAATGGCATTACTAAAAATTCATAGTGACCATATCGGGTCCTGAATGCAGTCTTAGTGATATCTTCTTCCTTTATACGCAACTGATAGTATCACGACCTGAGGTCGATCTTAGAAAACATGCCTGCACCCTTTAACTGATCAAACAAGTCATCGATTTGAGGTAATGGATACTTATTCTTGATTGTCAGTTTGTTCAGTTGTCTATAGTCAATGCACAATCTGAGTGATCCATCTTTCTTCTTTACAAATAACTTTCTTCTTACAAATAATACCGGGTGCTCCCAAGTGATACATCTGGGTCTGATAAAGCCTTGTCTAATTAACTCCTGGCCACTGAAATCTTTAACTCTTTTTAAGTCTGTTGTGCCATTCTGTAAAGGCAATTGAATACTTGGTGCCTGCTCCAGGGAATAGGGACATCATAGTAAACTCCACTTTCCCTCCCTTGTGGGTAACCTGGTAAACTGGTTCTGGGAAAATTACATTGGATAATCACACAACGGTTGGTTTGCACTTTTGACTGTTCTTGCTCTGCGTGTAATGCACATACCAAGTATGCTTCACAACCCTTCTGAATTAATCTCTTTGCTGTCATGGCTGATATCATATTACCCAGAAAATCTCGCCGCTTCCCGACTATTATTATCTCTTCCCCTGCTGTAGTATATAATGTCACCCTTTTCTTTGCACAATCAACTATAGCCTGATGTTTGGCTAGCCAATCCATACCCAGAATAACATCAAATTCTCTAAATGGCAACTCCATAAGATCTCCTGGAAACTCTTTTCCATGTATAACAATTGGGCATCCCTGAATAACAATTGGACATCCTTCGATCACTGTATCGGTTTTTACTACATCACCTAGTGGATTAGTAACTACCAGACCCTGACTCACATATACAACTTCTAACCCTTTAACCCAAGGTTTAGGTTTAGTACACTAATGTATGAATGTGATGGATCCAGGATCAATTAAAAATCTAATATCATGCTGAGATTGCTTATAGTAATAATGTACTGAATATTTACAAGACATGATACTAGTTACAAAATGGATTGGGCCCAACTGTGTGCCTCGTACATGCCATAAAAGAATAACAAAATGAGTTTCTACCCTGAAGACCGAGTCTTCTACAGATGAATGGCAGCAGTTGTAAACGGACCCTCTACGAACTAGTCTCAAAACCTGCGATTTAAACAGGTAACTAGCTGAGCAAATAAAGCTCAGTGGATATCTCAACATAAAACAACAATAAGCACACATATAAGCAAAAAGCATTATGTAAGCACATAATCACACATAGCATGCGGCTTTCATTTTACCTTAATGATCTTTCTTACTGTTTATTTTGCTGTATGATTCATGCAGTAGCAAGTTAAAATATCTGTATGGCTCCATAAGGTTATAAGGTTATAGTGAAACGAAGTGATGAAGAATACACTGTATGAAACTGTATGATACTGTATGCTTGGCCTGTATGGCCTGTATAATCCATATCCACATCACGGCCCTGTAGCCGGGAGTTCAAACTTGTATGGGGCGCGATCTGCTTTTATTCTATGTCGCGACATAGCTAATCTGCCCTGGTTTCTACCTAACCTCAATGGAGCTTCTTATGTACAATGTCAATTATAACACCATATCACACATAAATGGTTGCATAACTTATAGTTCATTGCTGTTGATTTGAATTTCACATCATATGAATGCTTGTAATGTGTTTTTAATCCATGTTCTTATGTTGTATTTTTTGTTTGTAAATGATTGGAATGCATGCATGTTGAGCAAAGGAATGTAATTACATAGCAAATGAAAAGGCAAAAGAGTGTCACAGCATAAGTCCGGAGCGCGCCTTTGCAACATCGCGAGCCAGCGAGAATCGCGACTGAAGTCAGAGGGTTTCTGGCTCAGTTGCGACCGCGTATGTGAAAGTTGCGAGCGCGACTTGGCATCTGAGAGTCAGTTGTTTTCTGGCTGAAGTCCTGCGACCCGCGCAGCACAACGTCGGCGAGCGCGAGATGAAGTCGCGAGCGCGCCTTGGTGTGATTCGCGAGCGCGGAGAATGCGCACATGAGAGTCAGAGAGCTTCTGGCCAAAGTCGCGACCCTGCGGCAATGTGATTCCTTCGCGAGCGCGAGTTTGTGCAATTGAGAGTCAGAGAGCTACCTGACTCAAGTCGCTGAGCGCGCAATCGGGAAGTTCGCGAGCGCGAATGTGCCTTTCCAGCATGATGCGCGAGCGAGCGACGTGATTCTGTGCAGTCTTGTATTTTTTGGCCATAACTCTCAAATGAGCTATCTCCAAATTTGAGTGATTCCAAAACGCGTGTAAACTAACACAAAAAGGAACAAATAACTCTTTTTCTGTGATCAATTTCCTAATTCCATATTAAATGGGTTCAAAAATCAAGAATGAAGTGCTGGTTAAAAAATTTCCAACCAAACTCCTGTTTCCACCTCAATATATTCATCGAATCCCTGTTTTTCACATCATGTCACCTCTTCTCACTCACAATAAGCAACAATATATCTCACTAGCACACACCACAAATTTACATGCAACGAAAATAGTAAACAACATGAGATATGCAAACCTTGACGTCAAAAGCTTTGACCTCTGTTTTAGAAAGCTGGGGCTCTGTTTTAACTTCACTTTCTTCTCCTATACACAAGAATTCTCATAACTCATCTCCAATATCACTAAATGAAATAGGAAATAACATCACACTTCAAGGAATTTTACTTACTTGAAGTTGACTTAATGCTTCACTATGTTGACAATTGAAAGAAAATGGGCGGGACAAGTAAGAAGAGAAGGAGAAACGTGAAAATGGGAAAGTGAGTTGATAAGAACGGGTAGTCTCTAGATGAAATGACTTGGCTGTATAACCTCTCTAATTGGCACCTCAAGTGTACAAAGGCTACAACTTAATACCCAAGCTGTATATTTTAATGCAAACAAGTCCTAACCTTTATTTGCAAATAAGTCCACTTCTAATCTCTTTCTCTAATCTCTTCTAAACCCAACTTTCTACCCCAACCAGGTTTGGTTCAACTCGACTCAACTCAATGCAAGACTCGACTCAATGCAAAGACTCAACTCGGTAGGATGTCACAGTTTAGACACGGAAGAAGTAGAATATATCACAAGAGAAGTACACGAAGGTCTAGGAGGTGCACATGAAGGAGTAGATGTCATAGTAAGGAAAATACTCTTGCTCGGCTACTATTGGCCTAAGATGAAAAGAGACGTCAAAAAATAAATACAAAGATGCATCTCGTGCCAAAAGCACAGCAAAATGCCAAGATAACTAGCGACAGACTTATAGCCTATTGGAATCTCTTGGCCTTCTACCCAGTGGGGGATAGATATCCTGGGACCTTTTTCAATATCCACAGGTCAAAGGAAGTTCATAATGGTGGCAGTTGATCATTTCTCAAAATGGGTAGAGGCAGAAGCCCTAACAACAATAACCCTAACGCAAATCATAAAATTTTCCAAGAATGAAGTGTTATTCAGATATGGGATCCTGAACAAGCTAGTCATGGACAACGGATTGCTTGCCTTTTAGAGAATCTTGTAATACTTGGGGCATCAATTTGCATTTCACTTCAGTCGCCCATCTGCTGTTGACGCGTGTTTTTTATGCCCCGCCTGATCCAATGATGATACGAGGATGAATGGGTCAATGCCATCTAGAAGTCTTTTAATCCAAGATGCCAATCTAGAAGTCTCTTTTAATCCAAGGATTTAAAACAAAAATAATAATAAACAAATAAATAAATAAAAATATAAAAATAATAAAATAAATAATAATAATAAAAAAAGACGCGTTGGTGGTGCCTACAGTAGCCGTGTGCTACAGTACTTTTGCCTAGCAGTATAACCTAGCTCTATAAATTCATCTCTTTCTTCACAACTTCACATAAAACTCTAACACAACTTCACAACGTGCAAAAAACCCTAAAAAATACACTTGTGGCTGCCAGATATTTCTCTCCACAAAAAATTCTTTATGAGTTTGATTTTGAAGAGAATTTGGCAGAGAAATTGGCATTAGATATCAATTTTAGGTGAATCAAACCATAAAAAGAGAGAAAAAATCAAAACATAAAAAAACACACTTCAATCCTTGGAAAAAAGCTTCTGGACATTTGATCCATTTACAATCCTCAATCTGAGGATCAGGTAATTTCTTCAACATTTTTATATTTTTTTTACATATTTTTGTGTTTTTGTATATTTTTGTGATTTTAGTGATTTGAGCTTCTTTAAATTATATTCCGTTCATATTTGGCCATTTTATATATCCTCAAATCACATGTAAACAAGAAATGATGTAAAAAATACTTAAAAATGAATTCTGGGTAAAAATCACGCAGCTTGTTCACAATGAACAGTAACTGTTTCATCATTTCCCCAGAAATAATCGATGAATCAGTAACTGTTTGTTCATCGATGAACAGTAACTGTTCTTCAATTTTCCAGAAATCGATACTGTTCAACACACTTGGCACACACTATAACATACTGTTCATCTTACATTCATCATACTGTTCATTACTATTCATCACACTGTTTCATCACTATTTCATCACTATCATCCGATTTCCAAGAATAAAAAAATGTATAATAAAATAAATAATAGATTTTACACATAAAATAAAAAATTTAATTCTTCAATAAAGGCCAATTATGAACAATTCACAGTTTTTAATTAAGCTTAATACTAAAATGTGATTATATATATTATTTGTATGAATTTTA